AGTTTGAATGAATCAGCTGTTAACCTTGTGATATTTCTGTACGAATTTCTGTAGAGCACCTACCGGGTGTGTGGCTTGTACTTGAGCTGAACGCTTAAATTAAAACAAAAAAACACCGATTTGTTTCTAATTATGATCCTAAATCGTGACACATTGAGCGCGTTCATATTGTCTAACCGTTGACTGTTTGTCGTAGAAACGCACAGTTGCCAACTTTCCGCCATTTTTCCATCGTAAACTTTTTCGCTACCTGAACTCAACGTGTTTGCTCAGCCTAAACAGATGATCGAAAAGATTTACGCCGCTTATATTAAATGTACTACGCTCATAAATGGATAGTCAGCCCTTAATAAAAATATTATGTCCTGGTTAAAAAAATAAAACTAAAAAGTTCAAAATAGAATAATGCAGATGAAGATGAAGATGAAGATGAAGATGAAGATGAAGATGAAGGTGAAGATGAAGATTTAATTTAGACGCCACTATCCAATTTGTATGTAGAATCACTCGCTGGTTCCGAAAATCGAGCAAATGTTTTTTATGTATGGATAGGTTTTCGAGATATTTGCAAATTACCGTAATTTTTTAGTTGTATTTGTATTTGTCTTAAGCTGCCAATGAAGAAAGTCGGTAAATAAATAAAAAAATAATGATTGGTCAAATGAAAATGCGCATGAATTTTTTGTATGAAATATGAGCAGAAAAGAGTGTTATTCATACGCCACGTACACCTGAGTAGGTAGAGTGTTTGTATCGAACACAAGAGGTGTCATAAATGATAAATTATTTTTTCAGAAACTATCAGGACTAACGAAAAGTAATGTACATGCAGTTTATGGATAATTTTATTTGCTTTTACTTCCCGCATCTCGTATTATAATTATCCAGTTGGTTCGTAAGATATACGTGATTAAGTGAAACCACTATTTTTTAGGAATGAAGAACGGTAAATTGCAAATATCTCGAAAACTTATCCATAGAAAAAAAATTATCTTTATTTTAGGATCACCGAGCAATTCTACATAGGGTTTGGATAGTGGCACCCATAGAACATTTTTGCTGTAGACCAGTGTTATTAGAACATTGAACGAATGCTTAACCTATACAGTGTTTTAATCTAGTAGTCAAAGTTCAAAAGGGGCATATCATATATCCAAAAAAGTATTTTTGCTGCTTTTTCTCCCATGAGGCAATTTCTTAGAGGCTCGTATATAAGACAGGGCTGCCAACTATCCTTAGCTTTGAGGTGCCATATTAATAATGAAAAAGTGCCAAAATGTGCCAAATAGAAAAATAAAAGTGCCAAAAAANGAAAAATTATTTTTGCTGCTTTTTCTCCCATGAGGCAATTTCTTAGAGGCTCGTATATAAGACAGGGCTGCCAACAATCCTTAGCTTTGAGGTGCCATATTAATGATGAAAAAGTGCCAAAATGTGCCAAATAGAAAAATAAAAGTGCCAAAAAAGGTGCGATTCTTTTTAATCATTCCCATTTAGCAATAAAATAAGAACCACATTTTCATAACAGAAGTGCAATGATAAAATAAGATAAACCGGTTGAATAGCCTTTAAAAATTAGAAAATTTTATTTGCTAAAAAGAAATACTACACGCAAAGGATTTCACAGAAATGTATTGAAATATAATTTTTTTATACAAAAGGGACATTTTGGCACTTTGTGCCAAATTGAAAAATTAAGTGGCATTTGAAGTAAAATAGGGCCAAGAATGGCACGGTTTGAGCCAAGTTGGCAGCCATGCACTTGGGACGCTGGCGGGTGGAGCGCACAAATATTTGCGGGCCAGATTTGTCGTATTTTAGTAGTGAAATGCGCNGTAAATTTTATTTGCTAAAAAGAAATACTACACGCAAAGGATTTCACAGAAATGTATTGAAATATAATTTTTTTATACAAAAGCGACATTTTGGCACTTTGTGCCGAATTGAAAAATTAAGTGGCATTTGAAGTAAAATAGGGCCAAGAATGGCACGGTTTGAGCCAAGTTGGCAGCCATGCACTTGGGACGCTGGCGGGTGGAGCGCACAAATATTTGCGGGCCAGATTTGTCGTATTTTAGTAGTGAAATGCGCTCGTTTTTCTTTAAGACAGACCTTCAATTGAGCTTTAATTTCAAAGTTTTTAATGTTCCCAGCTTTTCGCCTTCGCTGGAGAAATATACAATTATTTCTAGGTTGCTTATACGACTTTTAGCAGTACTTGTTGAAGGCCCATCAACGTTGCTTGATATACTAATTAATCATATAGCACCCTAGTTAGACAGACTTAGAGCCATTTCAACAATATTACAGTGGACTCTCTGCCCATGTATACATTCGCAATCGCAAAATATTCGTATCATAATAATAAATATTGTGCACGCTTTTCATTTTCAATCTTATAAATTGTTTATAATGACTTTTGCTAAAATATAAAAATCAAAAAGTTATCAAAACAAATTCTATGGGACCGAGATATATTATTTTCTAAANTTTTTCATTTTCAATCTTATAAATTGTTTATAATGACTTTTGCTAAAATATCAAAATCAAAAAGTTATCAAAACAAATTCTGTGGGACCGAGATATATTATTTTCTAAATTTTAGTCCATTTATAAAAGCGTGGTATATTAAAAAGTTTTTTTGTTTAATTTTTATTTCATTTATTTTGGTAAAGTTACACACGAGAAAGGGGTGCTCATCTTCCAAAAATAAATAAATATGCCACACGGTTTCTTAAGAAATTTAATTAAACAATTTTTTACAAATGCTTCGTTTTAGAAAAAATAATTATTAAAATCGGTTTAGTACTTTGAGAAATATGTCGTGACAAACAAATTCCATATAATCAATTTTTTATAATAGTATAGATATATGTATACACTAGGGTTGTTAATTTTTCAGCTTTTACCGATCCCGGAATTTTCGAGATGTCATTCTCAGAGTACCGGGATTCGTCCCGTGATTTGGATATTCATTACTTTTCAACCACTTAAATAGAAAAAAATGCTTCTATATTGTAAGCTCTCCTACTATAAAATAAATAATAAATAAATGGGTTTGAAACCTGCTTTTTTATTTAAAGTGGCGTTTTTATTTCTTCTCTCTGACGTCAGGAATTATTTTAAAGGACTTTGTAATCTCAAAGATATAATTAATTCCAAAAATTATTTAAAACTTTCAAAGCAATGTATAATAAAAATATGGATACCAAATGCAAGACGAANTATTTAAAGTGGCGTTTTTATTTCTTCTCTCTGACGTCAGGAATTATTTTAAAGGATTTTGTAATCTCAAAGATATAATTAATTCCAAAAATTATTTAAAACTTTCAAAGCAATGTATAATAAAAATATGGATACCAAATGCAAGACGAAATTTCTTTAGAATTTAAGAAAATTAAAATTTTTGGATTCACAAGGACGAATAGGTAATTTTTAAGCTCATAAAGTTAGAAGGACGAAATTCGAGGATGCCTTGGAGTTCATATAAGTCCTTATAATATAATTTTTTCAGAAACAAACATTGTGAAATTTCAAGGATAAAATTTTAAATGGACATTTTCAAGACTTACTAGTCATTCTGCATCAAAAACTTGAATCTGTTAATCCGCTTCTTCTCTAAGCACATTTTTCTGAATTTTTTAAAACATTTTTGAATTACTGACGCCAGAGTGAAAAACTAAAAACGCAATTTTACCATGTTTTAATTGCAATTTTAAGTGGGGGTCCACGGAAATTTATCTGGTTTCAATAGTTACCAAACTGGNTGTGAAAAACTAAAAACGCAATTTTACCATGTTTTGGTTTCGCAAATATATTCATATTTGTGTTTCAAATTTACTATCGCGCGGTGTTATATATGTATGATGAGCTAGACATTTAAAAAAAAAATTACTTATTAAATAAAAAAAGAAATATAGCCAATACTAGGCAAGAAAAGGAGTTTCTATTATCGCCATCAATATCCCGGGATTTATGGGACCTTAAAAAGGCCGGAATCCCGGGGTTAACATTCCTAGTATATATGTGTACATGCGCATCATGCTTTAAATCAGTGATCCCCAAAGTGGTCCAGGGGTCCAACGGATACTCGAGGAGGGCTACGTTGGCGTGAAAAAAATATGGGGGTCCACGAGATGTAAGTGGGGGTCCACGGAAATTTATCTGGTTTCAATAGTTACCAAACTGGTTGCTTGAAAGCCTCTTTATTTAACTTTAATTTTGTGAGTGGTGTTGGTACGGATGTTGGTATAGAACTGAGTGGGGCGATTATAGATTCGGTCTTTTCGCTATAGTCTGTTTCTGAACTAAAATTGTGGCGTAAACAGATTTGCGGGTTTGCTCTCTAAGTTTTTGTGTGTTTAAAATGTGAGTGATAAACATTTTTCGCATCACTTCAAAATTCGAAGTGATAAAACTAAAAATGACGTCATCAACACAAATAAACTATTTCACAAATACGCCACATGCAAATTCATGAGTGAGTCGTACATGTAAGAAGTGTAAGAAGTGGTGATGAGAATATAAATAACGCTAGTTCTCGTAGTGCTCTTAAAAAATATAGCTCCTCAGAGCGAAGGAGTACTTTGTTGGCTTTATGAGCTCTGTTAAAACTCGCAAGTGTGTAGATAGAAGAAGATATTTTATTTTTATTTTTGCCACTCCAGATTTAGTTTTGGAACTCACCCGCGATGCAAATTTACATCGTTAGATCTAATCTTCACATTTTTTGATGAGTTTTGGTAATATGTTAAATGTAGCAGCAGGGGATCCACCGAAACCAGAAAAGTTTTGAAAAGGGCCTACGAGAAAAAAAGTTAGGGAACCTCTGCTTTAAACAAATTTTCTTCGAGATTATTGTTTTCTCGGGTGTTACATAACTCGCTCAGTGCTAGCTAAGCAAGCATATATGTATGTAGCTCTAATCTAATTATGCTTAGGGGTCGGTAACGGTATATAAGAAGCCGAGACTCTACTTAGTTTAAGTTTTCGCATTAAGCACTTCCCATACAACAATCAGTCAAAATGGCCAACCAGTTCGTTTGCAGTCTATTGCTGTTGATCGCAGCCTCAAGTACAGTATGTTTTGCTTAGCTGCACATCCTTCTTTGCACTAAAAACTTGTGCACTTAACCGAAAAAGGCACTTAAGCGAATTTTCTTTACTACTTCAATGAGGAAGGTATCCAAATCCCTATGAAACCAAATAATGGAGAAGCACTTACCACGTAGAAATTACTGCAAGCGAAATTTTTACCGAATAGAATCTAATTATCTATATAACTACATAAATTTATAGCCATTTTCGTTGTTCTGCGAGATGAACAAAATAAATAAAAACTTGTAAAATTAGGTAATTGTAGGGCCAGTGCAGGTAAACGTAAACGTTCTTTGATAATTGATACTAGTCGCACAATTTTTAAGGCAGGCATCGCCAATGTGCAGGTATGTTGAATGCATCTATCGGAGCACTTTCCTTATAAATGTTAAAAATAATGCCTCTGTCTGGTGCGCATTTTGGGGTAGGTATCTTAAATGTGCACTTAAGCACAGAGGCAGCAAAGCAAAATATACTGTACCTATGCTCAGATAACCCCTACAATCGGAATTGTAGGTGGTGTAGCAGCTGCCAGTAGCACCCGGTCATACGTCGTACCAGTGAAGGACTCAGGTGGATCCATCCTCTGTGGTGCTGTTTTATACAATGATGTTACCGTTATTACCACTGCCTCGTGTTTGGTTTTCCTCCCNTGCTCAGATAACCCCTACAATCGGAATTGTAGGTGGTGTAGCAGCTGCCAGTGGCACCCGGTCATACGTCGTATCAGTGAAGGACTCAGGTGGATCCATCCTCTGTGGTGCTGTTTTATACAATGATGTTACCGTTATTACCACTGCCTCGTGTTTGGTTTTCCTCCCTCTTGGAAATTTTCTTGTCGGTGTAAACAATGGCACTATGGCTGGGATAATATTTTAGTAGATGTATCCGAAACTATCATAGCCGCTGACGATTGCGTTTCTGGCAATTATGGCTACGACGTTGATGAAGTTTTTGCCTCAAATGTATGTGGCCTTGCTAAAAACAAAGCTTGCAACGCTATCGGAGGAGTGCCATTGGTTTCCAACAATCANCCATAGCCGCTGACGATTGCGTTTCTGGCAATTATGGCTACGACGTTGATGAAAGTTTTGCCTCAAATGTACGTGGCCTTGCTAACAACAAAGCTTGCAACGCTATCGGAGGAGTGCCATTGGTTTCCAACAATCAGTTGGTTGGTTTGCTTTCCTGGGGTAATGCTTGTGCCAACGACGACAATCCAGCGGTCTTCACCAACATTTTCGCTGAGAAATCATGGATTGAAAGCAATGTAAACAATTTGTGAAATATCAGTAAATAACAATAAATAATGCAGCAAATATATAAATATTCATAAGAATTGACAAAAATTATAGACTTAGTTTCGTAGATTTAAATGGTCGGATTGCCAATAAAGGCTTCTTAAGTTTTTTAGCGGCCTTCACATAGAAGTATCTAGGAAAATTCAAAGGATTGGTCTAAAAGATGCATCAGGTGCATTGACGGAACAAAAACTATTTTGAATTAAATTATTTTGTAAGTATAAACATCTTAGCTCCCGGTATGTGTAAAATTCGCGAAAACCCAGCAGAAAGTGTGTAACTGTTTCTTGTATAGCCCAGAGAAAAATGTGTTATTGCTTTTTGTGTGTGCAAATGAACATTTCTGGCCTAGTTCAGGCCCATTTCGGAACTAGTTCACGATTAGGTTAGGCCCATTTTGGGCCCAGCGCGGAGTCGTTCCGGGACTGTTTCGAGATCTATTCAGGACAATTGCGGGACCGTTTCGGAATTATTTTCGTCTTAGTTCAGAACCATATCTTCTTAAGAGTTAGCACAATAGATCTAGCTAGGTCGCATCGATAGTATACCCTAAAAATCATAATCCAGTTTTCAGTTTCAGTTCAGTTTTTAATTAATTGTATTTTTAATGCGCTTTCATTAAAAAATGGGAACTGAAAATCCTGTGGTCTATGGTGGAGTTTCCAGGCCTAAAGCCACACTGATAAAGCCCAATCAGTTCATGGACGGTGGGCTTCAGTCTTTCAGACAATACGCTCGATAAGACCCTGTAACTAAGACTGTATCATCATCGACTGGGGGCTCGGGTTCTTCTTTTCCACAACTTTTCGTGCTGCTACCTTTCAGTAGGGTGGAAATTTGTTCCCTCCATAATTTAAGTACGGTTTGAACATCGGTTGCTAGGTCGCCATTGTTGTTCTTACAGGAGTATATCCTGGTCTTGAAACCTTCCGTAAGTCGCCTAACTCTCTGATCTCATCCTTATCTTCCGTCGGGGCATGGGTACAGATGAGCGAGATGTTGAAGAATCGGTTTATGGCTAGACGCTCGTCCACCGGGGTGAACGACATTACTCGGAGACAGACTCTCTCTGCCACCACAAATCCAACACCGAATTTGCGCACCTTTACAAGTCAGCTTTAGTATACGTCGCAAGTCCCCAGGCATTGCTAGCCTTGCCCCGTCCAATGCATTTCTTGGATGGCGGTGATGTTAGCTTTTACTCTTACAAGGACATCAACCAGTCGGCCAGAGGCACCTTCCCCATTAAGGGTTCGGACATTCCAGGTGCATGCTCTCAAATCGTAGTCCTTTACACTTTCGCCGTGGTCGTCATCATAAGGGGGCGGGTTGTCTCATCCGAGGCATTGCCTCGCTTCTTCACTGGAAGGGGTTTTTACGTGGCGGGCCGCAAACCCAGCGCACAATCCATTTCTGGGACGGGGGTGGTTTCGCAACCAAATACACGTTTATATAGCGAGCCGCTTGCTCCAAGACGGACACACGCTTGCAGCCGCACCTACTGGTGAACATACTTCAGTGAGCCCTTAAACCCAATAAGTCGGAGTGGCCCCATCTAAGGCGTGCTAGTAGTCTACCTAAAAAGATAGTCACTGAATCTAGTCAGAAAAATCCTCCATCCCAGTCCTTGGAACTTATTAATCTTTCTTCTCCATGCCCTCAGGCATTGGAGCCCCCGCTCCAGCCATAAAAGCCATATTCACTAGGTCTACATCTAAAAATATTAACGTCAATAAAACTGTCGATTTAACAGTGTAGCCATAAATATATGAAGCCGCACTTTCTAACTTATTTCCTCCGAATAACTCGCATATCAGATAGCATTNGTTTCTTCTCCCGCTATCTAAATCCATATTCACTAGGTCTACATCTAAAAATATTAACGTCAATAAAACTGTCNCCAGCCATAAAAGCCATATTCACTAGGTCTACATCTAAAAATATTAACGTCAATAAAACTGTCGATTTAACAGTGTAGCCATAAATATATGAAGCCGCACTTTCTAACTTATTTCCTCCGAATAACTCGCATATCAGATAGCATTACCAAAAAGTTTGTTGTAATTCCTCCGAGAAGATCAATCATTGTCTCTACATTTGCTAAAATTGATGTAGCTGCCGAAGATTTTCATGCACTACTAAATAATTCATTTTGTCCGACCGGGGCGTTTGTTGGCAAGTTTCAGTATAAACTCAATAAAAGTAATAACAACGTAGCTAAAATTTCTTATCTTAATTCTGTTTCAAAAAAATAACTCGCAAGGCTAATTTAAGTATTTACATAAAACGTTAGAGGTTTGAATAATTAACTGACTTATATATAAAAGGTTTTGACTTCAATTATAATATTATTACCTTGATTGAAACATGTTTCAAATCTCATATTTTTAATTCAGAATTTCTTCCAAATCAATATCAAATATACAGGATCGACCATGAGGGCAGCATCGGCGATGGTGTTCGTTTTGCGGTGCATTCGTCGATACCATCCGAGGAAGTTAGTGTTCCTGTCATTGAATTTACCGAAATTAAATGTATACGTGTACAGGCTGGCAAGAGTTATGTATATTTATTAGGGCTGGGTAGCTCATTGAATTTTAGCGCGTTAACTCAATAACTCAAGCTCCTTTTAATGAGTCAACTCAGTGAGGTGGCACAATTGAGCTATGACACTCTGCTGTTGAGACAACACAGCCTAGAGTTGGTTAGCGCTATTGTTAGCACCGATGTCAGCCGATGAGCTCTGCAGAGCTGGTTTGCACTGTAGACCTGTTAGAAGGAATAGGGTTGATATGTACTGTAGAGCTTGTTTGCACTATAGAGCTGTTAAAAGTAATAGAGTTGATATGTGCTGTGGAGCTGATGAGCGCTGTAGAGCTGGTTTGCACTGTAGAGTTGTTACAAGGAATAGGGTTGATATTTGCTGTAGAGCTGGTTTGCACTAAAGAGCTTTTGAAAGGAATAGAGTTGGTATGTGCTGCAGAGCTGATGAGCACTGCAGAGCTGATGAGCACTGCAGAGCTGGTTTGCACTGTAGAGCTTTTAAAAGGAATATAGTTGGTATGTGTTGCAGAGCTGATGAGCGCTGTGGAGTTGGTTTGCACTGCAGAGCTGTTAGGAGAAAATTAGTTGGTATGCGCTGTAGAGCTGGTGCGCGGAATAGCTTGAGCGAATTGAAAATTTTCACAACTATTACATTTTTCGCAATTTTCTCATCTTTATTTCCATTATTTGCTCTGAGTACCGACTATGTGCGGAATATTTATTGACTCACTGAGCCATATTCTTTTTTAGAAGTGAGTCTGAGATTCAGCTCAATAGCTCCGCTCAGCGCTGAGTTGCCCATCTCTAATATTTATTTATCTAGAGATAGTTACAGTGTACAAATAACTTTGGAAAGGTCCTGGATCTCAAAGATGTTGATGATGTTCGCAAGTCCTCTATTAATCGGTGTGATCCCCTGGTTTTGCCAGAGGATGCATACCATCCCGCTCTTGAGTTAAGCTATGAAGTCATAATTGAATACATAATAATAAGTTGTATAGTTGAAGTACTAGAGCGTAGAGTTTGTTTCGAATGTGTGTATGTGCCAAAACGTAATACTGTTCATGAAGAACCAACACAATTATGGTTCACTAAAGAGCTTAAAAAAATGAAAAATAAAAGGTCACAGAACAAAACACCCAGAACAGCCAGAAAGTTCTTTTTGTAGATTTGCAGAAATCACTTTCGGAAATGAAAATGGCAAGGTGTAACTGCAACTGAAATTATGCAAATCCCTTTTGAGAAATAATTTCAACTTGCTCGTGCTGCACTAGCAATTTTTAATTTTGCTGCAAATTTTGATTTTCAGAAATAAAAACTGTTTTCGAAAGTCACTTTACATGCAGTCTATTTTGGAAATTCTTGAGTTTGACAGACTTTTGAAAATGACTTGCACTTGCCACGTCTAACAGCTACTTAATAGTGACTGTCCACTCGGTAGGCAATAGCAATCCTTCCAGTGTAATTTTTTCATAAAAAAAGTTTCTCACAAAAAGCCATCTGTCGTTCGGAAGGGAGGAAAGAGATTTAGATTTCTATATACATACGTGTGGCATCTTGGAGACATAACTAATAGGCATGATTCAATAATACAAGGTTCGATAAACTGACAGTTGTCTCTCTCGCACCGCTCCCTTAGCAGTGGCACCGTGTTGCTTCTTTGCAAATTTACATGGAAACAGTGTAGCTTTGGTGTGAAATAAAGGTATAAGCTTTTGTGCAATATGTTTATTTGTATATGCATATGAAGCATATTTAACTGATGAAAACATAAGCATTGGATATTTACATCAGTCTAATAGTAGTCTTATTTTAATTTTGAGTCATTTTGCAGTTTTTATACGGCTAAATAGCATATAAATTACGTAATTCACGTAGATATATCAATATTACGTTCAACATTTCGTTTAAAATGCTAGATTTCCTGCAAATACATTAGAATTTACGAAAGGAATTTCACTTCTAATTGACTACTTTGGGTACTTTTCTACTACCATTTTCGAAACAAGGGATTGCATTCTTGCCCTTTCTCTGTCCTTCGTAAATGCAACCTTTTGTAAGGGAGTGTCAAACCGCAGCTGTCAATAATTATCTAACCTTGTATTATTGAATCATGACTAATAGGTATATGAGTTTGATAAGAGTGTTTTTGAACATATAGAAACTGCCAAGCCGAATATGATGAACATAGAACTATATAAGATTTACGTATCAAATGATCTAAGCAGTTTGTCAAAGAACGAATCACCAATGTCGAGTTTCAGTTTCCAGGAACTCGAAATATCACTTACACTTATCTACAATATTCATATATTTGTATGTAGAACACGAAAGATCTACCGATTGTTTATTATTTGCAAAAATATGTGTATGTATTTAAAAGTAGATATTGGAAAAGCCGTCGTAATTATTAGTAAGGCTTATGGAAGTTCCGCCATAAAAAAAAATAAATATTAAATACCTTTACCCACTAATACTTACCTACACATATCGAAGATAACGCCGGACTCATTCAATGTTAAGTAGGCATGCTTTAAAGTGGTTTTCTTTAGTGCGTTCCACTGCATTAAAAAGAATAATGGGTAGAAATAAAACGGAAAATATCAGTCGAGTACCAATATCAGTTTACAAAAGCGATAGTTCCGATTTGAGTAAAAGTATATGTACTTACATATACATACATATATACAGGCACGGTAGCTATAGCTACACCGAGAAAAAAACTGTACATCCGCCAATTTTATATGTATTAGGAACAACTTTTATTGGTTAAATGGTACCAAACCACTACTCGTATTTGAAGCAACAGCGCAAAGGTTGTTGATTTTTTACAACGATTTTTTTTTTTAACTAAATTTGTACTTAACAAAACAATTTTCGCATTTAGATAAAAACTGTATAAATTGTTGTTTTAAATACTTTTAATTTGAGTTAACAGTGCAGGTAGTTGCCGCAAAAGTATGAAGCTGTTGAATTAAATACATGGATTTTCGAGGACCCAACGACGAACACCTTTGGCGGAAAGAACTTACGTATTTGATTCAAATACTTATTTGTTGGGAAAAAAGTGAAAACTGTTGGAGAAAAAGTGCAATCTTTCTGGCTTACACTGAGAAAAATTTTTATGTAAATTCAATTGATTGGTTTTGGTTTGAAAGAAATTTTTGTTTAAGCGTTTTAAGTATATATGTATACAATATAATAAAGTAAACAATGTAAGTTTATTTTGTACATATTTGGTAATTAAAAGATAATTATTGCAATAAGTACTGATATGTTCTCATTTTCGTTGTTGGTGTTTCCGACAGGGTAGGAGTGTGATGTAATGTGGAACGATTTTCCGTCATCCCTTGTCAAACCGGTGGCACAACGCCGAAACCGGTTTGTCTCCAAACCAAATTTGACAAGGGATGACGGAAAATCGTTCCACATTACATCATACTGTTATGTTATTGGACTTTTATGTTTCTCATTAAAATGAAAAATTAAATTTTTTGACAGCGTGAAAAAGTTATTACAAATAGAGCAAATATGAGCATTGGTGGAATAAGCACTTTTCACTGGACATTATTTAGTTTAGAAAAAATATTTTGGAATTTTGGAATTTTCTCTTCAGAAGAGATTTCAAATATAGATTCTTGTAAAAAAAATCCACACATATTTGCTTTTTAATGAATATTCTAAATTAAATATGAAACATATTTTTATTACCAGGTCCAGGGCACGAAGTAAGGTTTGTACCTTGTAGCTTAAGCCGTCCAAATAGACGTAAAACTCTAACAGATTTTCGACTGAATCACCAATAACAAAAACTTTGGGCTGTAGTTTTAACTTTTCTTGAATGGCACGCTCCTTCGTTACGTCTTTTTTTGTTTGAAATTATTTAAATAAATTTACTAAATATACTATCATGTCTTTTTGAGCGTTAGATATTGATGGCTTGGATATCTTACTGATTCGAGGAGGTAATATTATTGAGTGCAGTCAATTGAGCAAATTAAAGTGATTTGATAAAAGTGATATGATAATATCAAGCTTTTCAATACTTACTTATATAGATATCTTTTGACAGCGATGATGGTCCTGCTGTTAAAAATTTCATCAATATCGTGATTGCACATCATTTTTAATATCCCCACGAATTTAATTAAACACTCAGACAAAATTTTTATGACGTCGCTAGATAACTCCCATTCCAAATATGTAGTATATCACTTTCAAAGTTCAACATAAGGTTCCAATACCTTGCTGACCTTCACATGAATTTCCACAAATTTCTTCGGACAGATTTATAATATTCAAATCCATATTTTTAAACTTGAAAGGAACGTCTGCTTTGTAAATCAATTGCCACAAAAATTACGCGTCTTTAATTTTCTCAACAAGTTCTGCGGTAATTTCAATTACTAATGCCGTTGTTAAAAAAATTTTAGTTTTAGAAGTACCGATACTTCTGTGAATTTTGTTGTTGGCGCAAAGATTTACTTTTAAGTCAACAGCGTGGCTTTTGGAACTGAAATTCAACAGCGAAAATTTTTAATCGAACTACTTTACATTTGTTGTCAACAGTTTTCAACTTTTGTTTATTTTTAACAGCGTGTCAACTGTTATGCGAAGAGTGGCGCTGTTAGTTCAACAATGAGAAAATTGTTGAAATAAACACGATATTCGTGTATTAAAGATTATTTTTGTTGTGGCAAGTGCTTTTTCCTTAAAATTTTACAAGAGCTACAAGTATTTGTTTAAAATGTGTTTTTTTTTTCTCTCAGTGTAACCGTTTTAAGCCAAATAATCAGTGATAACGCCAAACAATCCACTTCAATACACTCAAGAAGTCAGATAATTTCATAATGCATTTTCTTATAATTCTATGTGCTATTGCGCGATCGATATCGCCTACAAATTGCTGTTAAAACTACTATCGTACCCTACAATTAATTTATGTAAAGTCAATTAAACAGAGGCAAGGCAATGGACGTTATCGTCTAAAATTTACCGATTAGATACAAGCCTTTGCACATTCATACATTCACTTACCATACGTTTTTAAAAATGATTAAAATTCGACTAAACAATTCTTCAAGAAAGAAAGAAACACTTCTAAGTCTATGATCAATAAGTCTTATAGTTCTAGAAAGCCAGAAAAAAAGTGCGTGGGAATGCTCTCGAATTGTACAAACTAGTGCTGCAAAACCATCGATGGAACCATCGATGTCATCGATGGGGCCAATGCTTTAGTCACTATCGATGGTTTTTTGAAACCAGTGCAGTAAGTTTAAAAATAAATTACTGTATGCGCATTGGACAACAAGTAGTCGGTCATAGGCGCGGACGCACGACTCATCTTCTTGCTAGAAGTAGGTAAAAGCAGCCATGTGCTCCCCAAAGATTGGGCTGCACTTGGGGTCTTTCTCCTGCTTTTTCGCACTGGATTTTCACGGCAATCGTTAAGCCAGTGCTATTTTTTTTTGGGTATTGGTATGGTGGACAGAAACGAAAATGAACACACACTTTAAAAGATTGGAGAGTATTTACAGGCTCTCAATGATCAATATTAAGGGTGCCTTGAGGACAACACCGACTGCGGCGCTCCACGCCTTCTTAGACATGCCACCAGCGGAACTGGTAGCCAAGAAAAAGGAGTTTACCACGGCCGCGAGACTATATGCCGCAGGGCAGCGTGGACTCAGAACTTACGGCCATAGTAATATAGCGTCATCCTTAACCAGGGAAATAGACTACGTGATCCCGCGTCTGAGTTTCGGAAGGTTTCTAGAAGCTACAATAGGAGTTGCGGTTAGCGTAAGGCCATGGAGTGGAAAGGGAATGCAACGCAGGTCTATACAGATGATTCAAAAATGAAAAAAGGAGTAGGAGCTGCAGAATAATGCACAGCACCGGTAATTCATATGTCTTTTAGGCTGCCAGATCACTGTAGTATCTATTAACACGACAAGCGAGCAAATAAACATTTACCTAAGGTCCATTCTTTTGCAACCGAGCTACAAAAGAACACTCGCTTAAATGACGAAATACACGCAAAGCAACAACGCAAACTCGGCTATTTATCCGAGTTCAGCCAGGTCGGTTAAAAAACACTTGACCTGAAGAGTAGTGTTGTTAAGTGAAAAAACTGCTCTATTGTGAATTGTTAATGGGAAAGTGGAGAGGGAAATTTTTGTTTTCGTATATACATTATTTATATTTTAAACAAGTATATACATATATTACGCAAATAGCTCGCATATTTAATTACCAATTTCTATTGTTTTTTGTGTCTGAATACCGTTGAACTTATCACATGTTTCTTGCCAGCTACCAGTAGGGTTGCTTAAGTAGCTGAAAGGAAATTTTACCCAAGTTGAGCGTTCCTTTGTCGCTCACTTACAAAAAAAAAATGCAGCTACAGATAGTCAGGAGGCCATTAAGGCTCTACTTTCATATGAAACAAATTCGATCACCGTCGCGGACTGTAAGGAGGCTATAAGTTGGCTAGCTGTGGCTAAAACCGTCCACCTATATTGGGTCCTAGTACACAAAGGTGTGGAAGGTAATAACAGAGCTGACGAGCTAGCCAAGAAGAGCTTTCTGTTAGACGCCTCACTAACCACGAATATACCAATTTATCTCGGGGGAAATATCATAAGATCTCCTCATGTACCGCCAAGCAGATAGCCTTTGGAAAAGAGCTCAGGGCTGCAAACTTGCAAAAATTATGTGTAATTCATACGATAGGAAACTTACTGATTTCCTAAGCCTACAAGCAGCAAAAAAATGAATCGAAAGCCAGAAAAAAGATTTCAAGAATCTCGCCAGAATTAACAATTTGTCTTACGAAAGACTTTTGTCTTAAAAAAAAAACGTGGTAAGTTGAAAGACTGTTGCAGGAATTGCCCTATTAGTCGACTGAAAATATCTCCGAAAACTGAAGTGAAAGCGTACTTTGCCCATTACATAAGTAGCGCTATACTGCTTAAAGACGACACCACATTTTCTTCGACTTTGAATCCACTTTTGATTATAGTGCGACGCAATTTGGGATAGCGAAACGTTTAGCGCAACCTACACCTCCGTTAAAATGGTGAAGGACCTCTCCGAGCCATTCGACAAAAAACGAAACCGAGGTTGCAAACAAGGCGACTCTGTATAGCTATTAGTTGGCCTTAACGCTTTCTCCAAATTAGGAAACCAAGCAAGTGATACAATACTCGTATCAAAGTTTATGTAATTAATTATTTACTGTGCTACTATATATGTACATTTATGTATGCATATATTTTAAGGAAGTGAAATTTAGTTTCTACTTTTTCTTTACCAAAAACTTTCACGCCTACTTTCCGTTGAGCACCTAGCCACTTTCGTGCTCTTACAATATCCATCGATCACATCGAAGGACATACTAAATCCACAATCCTGCAGCCAGTGATAGCCATTGGAACAGCGATAGTAGTAACGGCAGTTCCTTAGGTAAGGATAATTGCCCGTGACACCAGCATGACAAGTGACTCTCATATTAACAGTTGTTGTTGTAATGGGAGCGCTGGTTGGCACCAAAGAAGTAGTCGTTGTGATTGACGTAGCAGCGGGCGTCGACGGAGTTACGCGGGAGGTTGACGAGCCAGTTGTTGTGGACGTGGTTGGATTATTAGCAGACGGCACAGAAGAGGGTGTAGGACTACCATCGACTGGCGCACCAATTACACTTTGTATTTCGCATTCGTACTCTTCCATGCATTGCTCAAGTGTACAGTAGGTCGATAATGTGGAATTACAATAAATATATGGATATAATGAATTGCAAGCCGTGTTCGGATTATATATAAATTCCGAAGTTTCTGATGTGACTGTTGAGCATTCGTTTATAACTCTTGCGCGCACCAAAGTGAGAAATTGAAGGTTGATAATAAAGGTGGAAAATGCTTTAGTGTAGACAATTTTTTTCAATAATAACATATTTAGTGTGCTAATTCGCGGCTCTGCGATCGACTGGCAAAGACACAGTCACTTAATCAATTTGTTCTAAACTGCTTGATTTCATTCGAAATGGTAGTTCTTATATACTAAGTGCAATTGGAATCCGATAGCGCCTTGTTCAAGCTGGTTAAGTTCATTTAATCTTTGATTCATTTGTTGTTAATTAAATTGGTTGTCTTTTGCTTAACATTAGCTAATTACCCCAAAAAGATAATGCTAGTCATTGAAACGAGGGTGGTGAATCATTATTTAGCAAGTTTTTGTTGTTGTGGACTTCTTAAAAAGATAAAGATATTATTATTATTATTAAAAAAACGCATTTATGTTATGATGTCACTCTAATGGCCGTTTGTTCAATGTCCGGTTAACATAAACCGGTTTTTACATGTTACATGTATGTTGTCGAAAACGTCGATAATGATGTTTAAGTAGTGATAACCAGATTTAGAGTTTTTTAAGATTTCATTTAATTTTGGAAACCTGTTTTGTTCGTTTTTAAATTTAATTTATTTCTTTTGTAATCTATTTTTTTATATTTTTGATTGTATTGTTTTAGAAAGAAAAATTTTATTTTAATGTCATTGAANGACTGGCAAAGACACAGTCACTTAATCAATTTGTTCTAAACTGCTTGATTTCATTCGAAATGGTAGTTCTTATATACTAAGTGCAATTGGAATCCGATAGCGCCTTGTTCAAGCTGGTTAAGTTCATTTAATCTTTGATTCATTTGTTGTTANCGACTGGCAAAGACACAGTCACTTAATCAATTTGTTCTAAACTGTTTGATTTCATTCGAAATGGTAGTTCTTATATACTAAGTGCAATTGGAATCCGATAGCACCTTGTTCAAGCTGGTTAAGTTCATTTAATCTTTGATTCATTTGTTGTTAATTAAATTGGTTGTCTTTTGCTTAACATTAGCTAATTACCCCAAAAAGATAATGCTAGTAATTGAAACGAGGGTGGGTGAATCATTATTTAGCAAGTTTTTGTTGTTGTGGACTTCTTAAAAAGATAAAGATATTATTATTATTATTAAAAAAACGCATTTATGTTATGATGTCACTCTAATGGCCGTTTGTTCAATGTCCGGTTAACATAAACCGGTTTTTACATGTTACATGTATGTTGTCGAAAACGTCAATAATGATGTTTAAGTAGTGATAACCAGATTTAGAGTTTTTTAAGATTTCATTTAATTTTGGAAACCTGTTTTGTTCGTTTTTAAATTTAATTTATTTCTTTTGTAATCTATTTTTTTATATTTTTGATTGTATTGTTTTAGAAAGAAAAATTTTATTTTAATGTCATTGAATTTTCAGAAACTTTGTTTTACAAATTTAATAATGTGTTTCCTTTTTTGATTTAATTTGCTTTTGATCTTTAGATTTTATTGTTTTAAGAGGGAAACAATTTTTTTTTTAATTTCATTTCATTTCGGAAACATGTTTTCTTCTCTTTTTTTGTGATTTAATATATTTTTTAATTTTCAGGGTTGTTTTAAAAATTACCTTTCTTTTTATTTTAATTTAATTTTCAGGAGCTTATTTCATTTTATAGTTTTCTGTTGCAATTATTTTTTGTTAACATTTTTTTATTTTATTGTTTTAAAAAGAAAATTATATTTTTAAATTTCGTTTAAATTTTTATTGAGTCTTTTTAATTTTAAATTTTTTATCTTAATCTTCGTCCTAATCTTAATCTTAATCCTCATCCTAGTCTCAATCTTAATCTTAGTATTCTTCTTTACCTTGTTCTTACTTTTAATCTCAATCTCAATCTCAATCTCAATCTCAATCTCAATCTCAATCTCCATCTTAATCTTCATGCTTATCTCAATCTTAATCTTGTCCTTATCCTTAATCTAAATCTCATTCTTAATTTTAATCTCAATCTTAATCTTATCGTTATGCTTAATCTTAACCTTAATCTTAATCTTAATCCTAATCTCAATCCAAATCTTAATTTCAGTATTATTCTTAACCTTAATCTTAATCTCTATCCCAATCTTAATATTAGTTTAGAAGGACTTTGCTGTTTGAGGACACAACTTCAAACCGCGTAATGAATGCGCTGAACATGGTCTTCAAATAGGGCAGTCAAAACGAGTATAACTTTCATTTTAAGCCGAGTAGTAAAGTTTTTTTTTCTCCAGGAAAAGGAAAAGAAACCGACCTCTTTTTCTTATTTGGTGCTACAAAGGTTTGTCAGATTGCCTCGAGGGACCAAAAAGTTTCTCGAATTTCTCCTGTATTCTGCCAGTTGTAAGTTGTAAGTTCTGCCAGTTGTTCACACCAAGTGTAGGCAGGTGAAACACAGGATTTATATTTCGCTACTCAAAATATCCACAAAAATGTTTATTCTCAAACAAATTCTAGATTACTAAAAATACGTGTCTACTATCTAAAATATTACCAAACTCAAAATCTTGTATGTTTTTTTTGTTGGCATCCCTACTTTAAACCTTTTCTATTATTAATGAATTGGCAAGGCCAAGCACCTCCATGTTTTTATTACAACTAGCGGAATAAAAAGAAGACGCCGGGTTTACATACCGTTGCCTGGGTAAAAGATTGTCGTAAGCGCCATTTTGACGACTTTTAGTTCTAAATGCAGTTATATATATTGAAATAAGGTCTTTCGATTGGTGTTATCAGTTTTTAGATATCTCATTTCATTTCCAAGATATTGACTACAATTTTTTCGATAATTTAGTAAAATTTTAGTTAGTGATGCAGCCATATTAAACTAATCAATATCTTAAAAATGGCGTTCTCCATTTTTGTATATCTCCTTTAGTTTCCGAGATATTGAGTAAAAAGTGTCGTTAATTTGGAAGAAATTTTGATCACATTTTGTCGTATTTCATACAAAGTGGCTGGCGAATTGTGGATAAATGACGCTTACGACAAAATTTTACTAAATAAAATCCTTCATAAACTCAAAACTAATTAACAATAAATATTAGAAATTAAATAATTTAAGAATTTTGTGAACTAGTAACATTTGCAGAGACTTTGGGGAAAATCTATCTTCGCGTTTTTAGGAAATTGCATTCCAAACTTCAATCGCGATTTCCCACAACCTGCCGAAATTAACATACGACAATCTTTTACCCAGGCGATATGTGGTTTTCAAATTAATATATCAATAAATCATTAAGTTTCGTGGTTTTTTGTCACAAATTCGGGTAAAATAAAGAATGGTGAACATCGGGATATTAATATGCGTTCATTTCGTGCATTTATTGATGTAATTTCAGTACTAAAACCGTTTTTAACTTTTGAACGGTGTAAAAAATATGTATCCGCCTTCGGAATCTTAATACTGCTAGTAATACGCGTCGTTTGATATCGATTATTTTGCATCAGTTTTCGGTGAAGACCATGAAGTGCACAATTACCACAGAATCTATAAATAATCGATAACAAATTCTATAACAAAATCAATAAAATATCGATAATAAAACCGATAACAAATTCGATAAAAACTTCGATAGCGAAATCGATAACAACATTGGAAGCAAAATCGATAACAATATTAAAAATCGATAACAAAATCGATAACGATATCGATAACAATATCGATAATAAAATGGATAAATACTCGATAACAAAATTGGTAATAAAAATTGATAAAAATATCGATGAAAATATCGATAACAAAATTGATACACAATCGATGACAAAGACAATAAAAAAATCGATAACACCATCTATCGATAAAAATATCGATAACAAATTCGGTAACAAAACCAGTAACAATATTTATAAAAAATAGCGATAAAAAAATTGTTAAAAGTATCGATTACAAAATCGATAAAAATATTGATAACAATATCGATAAAAATTCCGATAGCAAGACCGATAAAATTATCGATTATTATATCCATAAGTCCCGAGAATCCCGAAAATCTCTAAAATTCCAAAAAAGTTCCCACAATGAGTCTCTGTGTCTCTATATATATCTTTATATATTTAATCTTTTTTCCTCTATCTTCATCTGTATATTTCGGCATCCTCATCTTTTCCTTTATATTTATATTTGTTTTTACTTTTATGTTTATCATTTTCTTCATCTACATATTTCCCTTCACCCTCGCCCTTATATAAGGAAAGTGTTAAAATTTACCTTGATCTTAATTTTTGCCTTTATCTTTACGCATCTTTGTTTTTGTTTTTATTTTTACCTTTGCCTTTATCTATGTATGTTTGTACCTGGTACGTTAATTTAACAGCAAATTGATTACTTAGCAAGCAAGAGTATCCTGTTATCGACATAAATTCAAACTCTTTCCCCTATCCCAAGGCTTTCGATCTCAACATTCGAGTGTTTTTCCGGAAAATTCTTTACTCCTTCCTTGAGCAACGCCGCACTTATCACAAGGCATGCATTCATTTTGTATATGAAATCCAATCCAGTATATGAACATACATACATACATACATATGTATATAAATGTGTGGATTATTTTAGTTGAAAAATTAATTGATCGCGTTTAGTGGGCTATTTTTAGCACGTGTTAAATTGCATTAGGATGACTCACTAAATTTTCGAAGCTTTGAAAGTACTCTTCAAAAGCGGATGTTAATAAATTGGTTTTTCTCAACAAAATAACTTTATTCAATAGAAGTATTTACACTTGTGAGATCTGCTTAAAATTTTGGAAAATTGCGCTGATAATTTTACTTATTCGGAGTACCCGTCAAGAAAAAGTAACTTCACATATTTGCTTGGTTGATTCTTTCAACAGT